CACAGACGCTGCCCGAGCCCCTCTGATGGGACAAGGACCCGTCCCGCCCGCAGAGCCACCAGCCCGGGGAGGGGGCCGGGAGCGAGCGAGGCCTCCCCAGCCCCAGCTCCGTGTCCGCCCCTGCGGCCGGCGGCGCGGCCGGCGGCGTTGGGAGGTCCTTACTGCTGCCAGCGGCCTCGTTCACAGGGTCGTCACGCTCCGACACGTGGCCTGCAACTACCAACTGCCCCCGCCAGCAACCCAACCCAGCCCCGGCACCGACGGGCGCAGCAGGGATGCCGCCAACCCCCCCTGCTCCCAGCACCAGGCTTGGACGGGTCGGTGCGGCCGCCTGGTCCGGACAGACGAGCTGCCGTGGTAATCGCAGGGTGTGCAATGCAGGAGCCGTAACCAGCCCTGGCTTGCCGCAGGAGGAAATCCTGCTCCCGCTCCCTCCTCGGCGCAGGGCTCGGGGACTCCTCCCTGGCCAGGGCCCTGCGCCCTGCTCCAGCCTGCGGCCGGCGGCACCCCTCCGGCCGGCGCCGGTGAGGCCAGGCAGCACTCGGGACACCCGAAGCCCAAAGCCGCTCGCCCAGCCCGCCTGCCAGCAAAGTCCTCGCGCATGGGGACACGGAAACATTCCCCGCCAGACGAGGTACGGCACTGCGACCGCACGGGCGCCCTTCCCCTTCCCGCCCTCCTCTCCGGCTTTCTGCGCGGGGGCTCCCGCAGCTTCCCCTCCCGTTTGCAGCACCCTTCATCACCAGAGGTTGAAGTAATTCCAAGTAATTTGAAGCTTTTCCACGGCTCCCCTCGCTGGGGAAGCAGGAGTGACGCCATGCGGCATTTCAGCGTGCATCTCCCTCAAAAAAAACCATCCCAGCTGCCGAGGGGCTTCCCGCTTACGGTCCCCCGTCTAAGGGCTTTGTGATATCACGTTTTACGTGTCTGTGATCGGGTTTTTTGGTTTTAAGCCCCCCGCTGAAACAGCTCAGCCCCACGGAATCTCGTAGAAAGCCATTTTCTAGGCTTGAACCGCCATCCAAGACCTCTGCCACCGCTTTCCCTCTTTCCTCTGCGGGACGAACGTAAAGAGACAAGAGCGCTGCTGCTATTGTGCACTTTATTTCTATAGGTCCTCTCACCGAGGATCCCAAAGCACTTTTCAGACAGTCTGCACGCTGTTTCCAGGTTACGGGTGGCGATGCTGGCAGCAGACGGAACGACTTGCTTGGGGACAGACGGACGCCCATGCAGGAGCCAGAAGCAGAACTCCAAGTGACTCCTAAGCTGCTGTTCAAGCTCGAGCATCGCCTCCGCTGGGAAGCCTGTAAGTTGGGTTGCGTGGCGATGCGCGTTCCCTGTTCATTTCAGGGCTCTTAAAAATGAATCACCGAGTAATCGAATACGAGCTGACGTCCTGTCGGGGGCCAAAATACCAGTTACCTGTACCTGCAGAACCTCGCTGACAGCTTCGGGTACAGGACCTAAGCTCTGCACGGTGAAAGGAGAGGAAAAACAGACAAAAAAAAGCCCCCCAACAGAGCGGGGGGAAGAATGGCTATTAAATGAGGAGCGGGGATCGGGCCGAGCGTGGCCCCGGAGACCCCCGGGAGGGAACGCGGCGAGCGCAGCCGGTGGGAGGTTTGTTTGGCAGCTCCGCGCGGGGCGGCACCTCCCCAGCCGCTTCCCCGGCCCCCGCAGAAACGAAACAGAACGAGTCACCGACACAGAGAGGGAAGGAAAGGCGCAGGCGCCTGGGCACGCACACACACACACGCTGCAACACGGTGGGGTGAAACATTGACATTTATATCGAAATATGCACTAACAGAGTGAGTTCTACCAGCCGATGCATTTTTGCCAAAGCGGGATGACAATTCTTTTGTCCCGGGGAAGGTTCAGGGGCGGTGAGAGGGCAGGGCCTCCAGGCAGGCGGGGAGGGGAGGCCGCGGCCTCGTTTACCGTATGGCTTTCCTCCTCACGGGTCCCACCCTGTGGTCATCCTCCTGTCCCCCCCCCCCGGCAAGTTACAAGCGACTCTTTCTGGCCTTCCGCGTCTTTCGTTTTGTTCTTCTCTCCGCTGCAATAAACGCGAAACTGGCAACGCTCACACAGAGGAGATAGATAGCAGGCTCCGGCACAGAGCTGTCAAGCGCGACCGGGTTGCTTACGGAGGGGAGAAGCCCCCCCGGGGCCGGTTCTTTCCCAGCCAACCCTTAACAGGGGCACGGTTCCCGCTGGCCGGGCAGGGGGAGCCCAGCCCCAATCCCAAGGGACATCGGTCGCCCAGAGCTGGAACCGCAGCTTTTTCTACACGTCTTGCGATGAGGGGCTCGGTTTTTAGTACTAGGTCAGCCAGGAGGGAGAACCCCTCCTCGCCCTCCCACAAAGCCTCGCAGTCGTGAGCGGGACGGTTTCTTACTAGGCAGCGACAAGCAGAGCTAAAGGCTGAGCGAGAGAAGGCCATCCTCGCTTGCTTTACGCAGCGCCAGCAGTATCGGAGATGGTTACGGGA